TGATGGAAGATGACACCGAGCACGTCACCGCTTCCATGGCTTCTGCTGCCTCGATCGATCGATCGATCCGGGGAGAATGGAGAGGGGGACGCGTTCGGGGGATTTTGACTTTTCTACTCTCGTGCCTACGACATGCGCCGTCATCTCAATCAAACCCTAGATTCCGTCAGCTACGATGGTATACCCACTCTTCCTCTTCTCGATTGAATCAGATTCTATATAACCTAAATTAGTATGAAACTGAGATCATGCAATCCTACTGCTTATCGCTGCTAAATCAGCACAGTTCCCGGACTTGGTGGCTGAAATGTAAGAAGAATTAGGTTATGTATGAAGGGGGGCGAAGGTGAAGAAGAGCAAGGAGTAGAAATCAAGAGGGAGGGAGGGAGACTTTACTAATTTTGTTTTGTTCAGCAAGATATTTTCTCACGCTAATCTAACGAAAAGCTTGAATTTTCTTTCTTTCAAGTCATGTATAATGTGCATCTCCACCCCGTAAATTGGAATTCAATAACAGATGCAATTTAGCAGATAACACCACTACATACTGTTAAAAGGGCGTGTAACCATTAAAAAAAACAAATAGCAGATCCCCATTGCTGCCTAGAAGTATAAGAAGTCAGAGTGTATACCTTAAAAGTAAAACGGACAATTAGTCTACCAAATAAAAGATGTACTATGTACGCCCCATGCTTTGTATTTTGTCTGACAACTTTATGTAATATATAATTAGCATCAAGCTTTTACTATGGTTCTAACATTAAAATTTGCACTGATGATGTCCGACTTTATGTTTCCATCTTGTTGGTGTTCACACAATTAGGCATTCAAACTCTTGCGATTATTATAGTGACCTGTTTACATGTAGAAAGATGAATGTTAACTTGAATTATCTGACGGTTTGTTGAGTGTCTCATGCCAACTCGGGCGTCCGTGTAATTTATACTCTTAGCAAGTTTATACAAATTTTCTAAACTTGGTTGGGTCTCATTCTTGTTCCCCTTCGTTTCTTTTCAGTATTGGAGAACAATCCATGGAGAGATGATACGAAACCTGTTTATGTCCTGACTCACACGGACAATCAGCTTTGTACCATGAAAACACGTCAAAATCGCAGGTTCAATGACATATCATTCATTTGTACTTGAGAATTTCCATCAGCAAGCAACTTAACATCTATTTTATTTGTGCAGTGAAGTTGAAAGGGAACTAGGATTGTTGTTTTCCAAAGGGAGAAATCGGGGATTGGGTATGGGAAGTAAGGCTAAACAGTCCAGGACTGGCACCAGCTTTAACATGTTTGTTGAAGATATTAGGGAGGGCGTGCTTGTAAGTATCAGTTCATTGCGTTTATTGTATACCGTTACTATTTGTACGGGAAAATTGTCAGTTGAAACTTTTGAAAAGACGATGAGTATAAATATGTCGAAATGTACTAATATTAAATTCTAATCAGAAAGAATATAATGAGAAGTCTCCTAATTCCTGGAAGTAGTATTAAATATTAATATGTTCAGACATTTTGACAGGTTCCTTAAGCTATCATTAGTGCATCATGTCTATGATTATTGAAAAAGCTAAAAGCTTATTCGTGATATAACATTGAAGCCACAGCATGAGCATGTTACTGATTGCGAGAAACCAATTTAGTGATTATCAATGGATCTTGTAAGATTATTTAATCCATGTCTATGTTTTGGTTTCCTGGTGAATAGACGGTGGTAATGGATTTACCACCACGTCACCGACCGAGTTTCAAGTTAGGTTACAAATATGTCACTCAAAGATCTAATTTTCTTTACCCTCGAATAACCTGACCAATTTAATAAAGCTCTTACATGTTGTATTTCTTTCGGACAAAACATCAGCACTATGTAGGATAAGTTCAGAAGTTCCTCATGTAGTGCGTTTATAAAATCAACAATGACTTATAACTTTTTTTTAATGTTTATGCCAGGGTGAACTTAAGCAAATCAAGCTGCTACATGCTTGTCCTTCAAATAAAATCCTTCTTCTATTGCACATGCCACTGTAAATTTAAAATTTAGAGAAAAACACGAGAAGAAGATTTCAATTATATATTGTTACCCACATGTTATATCTCATATGCAGCCCTGTATGTACCCTTTTGCATATGCATAAATTTGCCATTAGACATTCCAATTTTACATACACTGGAAGACGTACGAAAGAGTGGGAAACTCTGGTCCTTTGAGTACGATTTGAAGCTAGATCCATCCTATTTAAATTTCATGTTGGGGCATTCATTTTTATGATCCATCATCTACTCTATTAAATTTGATCTTCATTAAAAAATGTTGTCTTTGAATTTTTTTTTCCTATGCATCAAACAAGAACAACAGACCATTGAAAATGGTATGTTACTTAAAGCTAGTTTTTGCGGAGAAATTTATTTTTTCTAACATTTGATCCCTATCTAAATAATTCACAGCTCTTGTATACCAATTTTTGTTAGATGTGAGACATTCTACAGCATTAAACTAACAAAGTCCTTTTTTTATTCATTTTGAACATTGTTGATGCATAACTGAAGGGAGAACTGTACTTTTTTTTGGACACTATATAAAGGTGTAGATTAACTTTGATGGATGGATCTATAACATGATTTCCAACATTGAACTGGAATAGGGAGGATTTGGCAAATCTTTCCGAAAATTGCTAAGTCTACCTCATACGCAGATAAGCACACATACAAATATTGCCATACTCCTCTCAATATTGTTTATTGTACAATATAAAGTCACATTTGACATAATAGGAGTATTTTAGGTTTTAAGCATGAACATCATATGTTCCTATTGCCTAATAGTGAGTATACTCAGCAGCTAGGTTACCTGGGTACTTCTATCATGAAGCCATATCTGAACGCAACGCGTGCTGTACCCATACCTGACACTTTATGAGCACTCCTTAAATATATGCATACATTTATTCACATCACATGTATTCAATTATACACTACATATTTAATTTAAGACACCCGTCAAACACTTCTTCGACATATATCCTACACATCCATTTTTGGGACTTATTGGACAAGGGTCGAATTTGTTTCATCCTTAAGAAGTACAATTTCGAAGGGTCCTTTGCTTATCTAGCTCAGAAGTAAGATTACAGCCCATGAGTTTCAGCCGTGTTCTTGTACCCTACCTTTTCCAAATTTGTTGTGTCCCACAGGCGCACCTGTACCCATGCAACTTAGCTTAGAAGGAAAGGTGAGCCTAACTAAATGTGTAAAAGCACATAATTGGAACTAAATGTGTACTAAAGCACATAATTGGTGACATTCCTGAATGCAGTTGATGGGCCAAATACTACAAGTTGTTTCAATTATAATTTTAACATAAATAATCTACATTTTCACAGCTCACTTATTAGTAATTTAATCCGTTAATGTATTTTGAGCTTAGTTAGCATATTATTGGTTGTGTGAAGAAAAATTTATTATTCTCATACTGGATACATTTGTCCTAATTATAAAAAACCACTTCATACATTTATCCCAATTATCTGCAATTGCTTGGTGACTTGGCGTACAGTAGCGTCTTAGCCATGTCAAATTGAAGAAACAAATAGTAGAAGATACTAGGTAGTTCTCAAATGTTTATGACCTACTTTATTTCGGCTAAAGAAGACCCAGTATTTCATAGTTATGTAACTGCTAGATGCAATTGTATTTGGTTTCTGCATCTCTATGTATCTAGCAACCTGATCCAGATTTGGTAGTGGCAGCATGAATCCATGTTTGCAATCTGGCATACTACTTGAGTGAGCAGGTATAGAATGTTGATCGCATTTGTATTACTTTGCCGACATAGACTGTTGATCACTTAATCTTATTTGTATGTGATTCCAATGAGGATGGTTCCCCATTAGTCCTCTGTCCACTTTAATTGAGCTTCCTCACTTTGTTATTTGAACGTGAAAAATATGATTCTCACATGTTAATACTTGTTGTATGATATGAAAAACCTATGGTTTTCGTAAATAAGGATGGCATTGACTCTCTATGCACCCTTATACATATGAAAGACTTGTCATGCCAGCTTAGTGGAAGAAGCTTCTTGATTTCTTAAATTGCTTGTTACTTTTCATGCTGGCTTCTGGTCTGACGTCTTGTATGCTGTTGTTTTTGCTCTAGATGCCATTCTTTGATAAAATCTGCCTTATTCAGGTGTTTGAAGATGAAGATGATGCCACAAAGTATTGTGATCTGCTACAGGGAGGAGGTCAAGGTTGTGAAGGCATTGCAGAACTTGAGGCATCATCTGTAAAGCTCTTGAACACTCGAAATTTGCATCAATTGTTATTATCCCAGATGTCAATAATATTACCATTTGCAGGTCTTTGATATCTGCCATAGGATGAGGGCTCTTGCTGTTCTCTTTCGCCGTGGAAGAACGCCCCCATTGCCTAAAAGTCTTGAGCAAAACCTAAGGGCTCGGAAGCGATCACTTGAAGACCAAGATAACGTGTGAAATTTTTTTGTGACTGGAAATGTACTACCCTAATCTTATATGGCATCTATCCATTGAATCTTGGATACATGTGTATGTATATAAACTCTATACAAAATGATATAAAATGACTATTTGTACAAAAAAGTTCGTCCAATTAACATGTAATATGAGAAACTGATATTTCCTTTTGGAGCATTGTGGAGTGAAACTTTCATGAAATGGAAGACATTATGAGATCATCGAATATTGAAGAAACATGCAAATTTTATAATGTGCATTGTGGCGTACAATGATGAATTACTTTTCTTCAGCTTAGATTCTAATAATTTTGTTGGTCTCCATTCAATATGGTAGCAGCAGCAGCAGGTAACTGAGCGTTCTGGCCGTGTTTCGCTATTTTTTCCCTCCCATATCTGCTGAAATCAGTGAGCAAGCCTGCATGTACTTCCTGCTTCATTTTCTCCACCAATCTTGTCAGAACCTGCAGAAACATGCACAAACTGAGAAATTTATCACCAAATGCAATATACTCTGTCCTAGAAAGATTTTATTATCTTCTGACCGTTCCAGCAACAGCTTTGAGGACATCCATCGGTACCAAAGCAAGCGCCGGTGGAAGAACTAAGCTGATGCTGATCTCCAAGTGTCCTTTGAGATTGCTCTGGTTGCCTCTTCTGACTGAATACAGTGTTCCTTGAACATTCAAATCGAAATGTGATGGCATAGAAATACCTTCAAGCCCTTTGAGCTCCCATCTAGTCTGCGTACATCTTATCAACCTAATGAACTGTAACTAATTATGAATGTTAACTAGAGGTTTCTAAGTACATACAGCTTGGAGTTCAAGGATTCTGGTGACGTTCACTGGAACAGAGGGTGGGTATTCTTTGCCATTTGTTTTGCATCTCAAACGCATGTCGACTATAGGATTTACAGACGCAAAGAGGAAGCTGACGGGTAACATTTGTATCCTCCATTCTTCCTGCAATAACAAATGTTTTGCCCTCAGGTATATAGATCATTTCTAATTCTTACAGGGAGAAGATCTCACATCATTTAGTCTCTGGCTTCTGGCTTTGTCTGGAAACATTGCTTCAAAAATCCGAGGACGATCGCTGATGTATTCGCTAAAGGCTACCTGCATATGCCACTAGCTAATTTGAGTACACTGCACATTTCTTGAATATTCTCCGACTTCTAGTTTATATTCAAGCTTAGAGAGAGAAAGAGAGGTAAAATGATCAGATGCCTGCCCCAGGAGGTTCGTAGAGAGGGACATCGGTCGATATCTTGGAGGAGAAAGTAATGATATCCTTGTTATCAGGAAACGAAGAGGTCAAGGCCATGGTGCTTCTTGATGCTGCTGCTCCCTTAAATCCTATCGGCAAATTTGAGAAAGAATGCAGGTTCCGAACGTTCTCTGGATTTGATATCATCATCCGCTTCTTCTTCTTCTTCTTCGTTTTTGATCTCCATTCTTGAGCGTTGTAGTTCTCACGTCCTCCAATGCCAGCTACAGCTCCCAAGCAATAGCATGCCATGGCAGACCTTGGATGGCAACAATAACGACCACAGATACTGCAGTCTCATTCTTTCCTGTATCTATTACACCCTGTCATGATCTTTTAAGATAAGGGAAGAAAAGAATGCTACATTTTGGCATAAAAGCAAGCCACGCATGCGACTCCGATTGTATAAATGGGACATAACATAGCCCGACTATTTTAGGGGTTTTATGATATAGCACCCCCAAATCTTACTTATTTCAAGAAAATGACGTCGTCTCGATGTTTCTAAATAACCCCCCAAAGCATGCAAGTCGTTGAAAACCCCCCTCGGTCACAAGTAACTCATACTATCACCGTCACTGTTAAATTTTTGTTTTGGATTGACCATTATGCCCTTGATAGTTACAATGTCCCATTGTTTCTTCTCCTCAGTCCTTAGGGCCCCTCCTTCTCTCTCATGGCTATTTTTGGTATGACGGTTTCATATGTGGTTGTATAGTCGGAGCACGGGAATGGACTTCCAAACAAGAAGAAAATAAAGGAACAAATTTTTATGGATGCTCACAGTATAAGAGAGGAGAAGAAGGGGATGCAATTATTTCAAATGGGTAGATGACACAGGAGAGCAAGTGATCAAACTCACATCAAAGTTATTAAAGTATTTGAAAGGTCAAATTTTTATTTTAGACCTCTTTAGAAACTTATTTGCAAAAAACGATCTATTTTGAAAAGATTTACCAAATTCGACCCAGTTTCAGCCAACTGGCTGAAACTGGGTCGAATTTGGCGAAAAACTTAAAAAACTTTATGGGACTTGAAGTCCCGTGAAGTTTAAGCCCATATAACCAACTTTGATTAGGAGGGACAAAACTTCACGGGACTTGAAGTCCCGTGAAGTTATAAACTTCACGGGACTTCAAATCCCGTGAAGCTTCAGACTATATGCCAAAGAACATCGCTCTATGGAATTTAGCCTGCAACTTCACAGGACTTGAAGTCCTCCTCTCCTTCCTCTCCCTCTCTTACCCCTTCCCCTCACTCTTCCCTCCGTCCCTGCCCCCTCTCTCGATGCTGATGAGCCTCGATGATCTGAGTATCTAGTTATGTATGAGGATGAGAAGTGTCGGCTCCATCAGCATGTGCCATGCTATGAGAAGTGCCGGCTCCATCGTCACGCGCCGTCCTTTGACCTATCCTACGTCGCCGCGTGTACACTTGACCAAATTGGCGTGACATGTCCTCACGGCCTTCAAACTCGTTGATATGATTTTTATGGAACATGTTTGCTATTCTCCTCCGTCTGATCATATTGAAGATCCCTAACACCATCAGATCCTGAATGTCATTGATATGCTCATTTATATCAGCCTCAATCTCATCAAAAGCATTGATCTACGAGTTAATATATACACAACTTAGCAAATAATATTTTAATAAAAAGAATTTCCATTTAAATTTAGTTTAAAAACTTACATAATCTCTCTCAATCATGGCACTAGGGATGTAACTATCCATCGGTGGGCGTGGTACGTATCCAGCTGTTGGCTGTGGGTCGCGTCCTATCCATCTGCGTGTGATATTCTAATACAAACGCATATACGCGATATAATCATCAGCTGAAATTCTCTCATCTTGTATGAAATTCCACATATTATTCCACCTATCTATGTAGGCCGCACGGAATACAGCCCAATCTGTACGATGCGATGTCATCCGTCCCCTACGATCAATTTGCTCAATAGGATCCGACACATGCTAAGAGAGAAGAAATTTTCGTAACACACGATCTAGGACATGCATCTCTACAATCTCCCAACATATCAACGAGACTCTGCCTCTCTACAAAGCAGCTATCTCGACAGATAGGTGCAAGAGTATGCATATCGAGATCTGGCGAAGAATAAGGCGTCCACTTGAACTGGAATTTTAAAAAACTTTTATCAGTATCTACAACAAAATTAAAATATTCATAATGAATTGAGTTTTATATTTACCAGTTGGTGTGGGAGGCCATCAAGCTCATTTCGGTAAAACTCTATATGTCTAGTCACTATTTTGTATTTAGAGTACCTTACGTTATACCTATTTGGCATAAAGAATATATGAGAATAAATTCAATATGAATAAAATTTATGCATAATTATACCTACATGCCAAAAGAAACTGACCCTATAGATCACAATGCATGTGCAAAGTAGGTCGTCCAATATAGATGTGTTCCCATGACCAAACCTGCAGTAATGTCATGCATCCCTTGAATTCTTTATTTTACATCAAGGAGACCCTGCCTAGTTCTCTATAAAGGTATGCCAAGACTGCACTACCCCATGATAGAGTGTCGCATACATCAAAATTCTCTAGTAATGACAACCATCGTGCATGTACAAGATTCTTGGTCATATCAAAAAATAACATACACACTATCAAGTGTAATATATAAGCACGAGCGTGATACTCAATCGTCTCATCCATGGCATAAACTGGTATATCTCCCATAAACGTCGATCAAAGCCATGATAGATTTATTGCACCACTCCTCAAATCGGGAACCTACCCAAGAAGCCTTTCACATACTTTGGCCTAATTATGGTCATCGGTGCCCGTAACAACCGGGCCATCGATGCAGAGTCCAAGTATGATGGCTACGTTCTGAAGTGTAATGGTACACTTTCCTATATGCACATGAAATTAAGGTGTTGGTCTCCGGTCTTCACTTCTCAATCAATGCACTAATAAGGTCCCAGTCAAGCCGAATATACTCATCGATAAACACTCCTAAAACCTGGCTTAAGCTACAAACTGTAGTACTCGATCATCCTCCATCTCCCAACCTGAGTGACTCTGGGAATGGTCCACTATGTTGGTTTCTGGTACAGGTTGCATATTAAACAAAAATTGATAAATTTTATTGAGAAAAATTAAAACTAGCACAAAAAAAATAAGGAATATATATACACCATTTCTTACATGTCCCAAGCCAATCTTATGTGAATGATGATATGTTTGAAGGTATAATACGCCGGGTTGGATTGGTCCCGTATCCATAATGGATATCTCTGAGATTAAAATACAATATCTTAGATTTTTCAGTTGAATGACTTAATCATATGTATTTTGACGGTCAAAATTAAGTAAAGAATACATCCAGCATAGAAAAGAAAAATAAGAATAGAACATGCATAATGATTGTCACATATTGATTTTTTGTCTGCCTAAACTTGATATTTTTTTGGATGGCCCACAAACGAAGTGCATGAATCAATTTCTCCTTGCTTTCAAATAGATTGCCCTTTCTGAATGAGAAGTTCTCACCTTGTGTATCATCAACTATATTAGTGCTGATAAGAATAATTTCCATCGTGGAGTTATCAATCCATTCTTCTCCATGAAGTTCATCGGACGACGGATCTTCTAACATGTCATACTCATTGTTAGAGTAACATATGTCAATATATTGGTTATCCCCTTCATCACGATCTATCAAACATATCATGCTATTGATTTGTAAATCATCATCTTCATCATCATCCTCAGATACGACACTTGCATTATCATCTTCTATCGTCACTCCTATGGAAGACATTATATCTTGATGGGGAGCGCTATCATCCAAGGCATTTGAAGTGCCCACAAGCAAAGGACCGTTCAAGTATTGTGACTGTGTCCATCCTATATCTTATTGCAGAGATAAAAAGTCATTGGAGTTAACTTCAATGTCCTCCAACATGAGAGAGTATACTCTATCGTGATTCACCGATTTGCCCAAATTTCTAGGATGCTTTTCAATAAATAATTCCAACGAACACTTCTCATCATGCAGTATTCTAATAAGATCCATATCGTAGTCACTTGAGATTTGAATGCCGCTTGTTCTGTTCCCCGTAACAGGATAGTTGCAAATAATGTTGAGGTGATACTCACGTAGATTGGTTAATGTAAGTTTATGTAAGTCTTTAACTAATTTATCGAAAGTACATAATTTTGATATAAACAAAGGCTTTGTCACACCTTCTTCATATACGTGCATATTATTCTCGAGATAGTTAATATTTCCATCATATAAACAAAGAATTACGATTCGATCCTTCATCATTACCTCTAAAGAGTGAAAAATCCAATATTAATATTACACGAAAAACAAAAAAAATATTATTTACCATTAAATCCTCTAATATTAATTTTAGACATCCATAATTTTTGATAATACACTAACTTTTAGAATTTTTGATAATTTCCCCTCTAACTTCATACACAAATTTCTATAATTTTTCTTCACAAAATTCATAAATATTTCAAAATCTAAATTTAAATAAGTTATTACCATGAAATAGTGAGAATATATATAAAATTAGGAGAAAATAAAAAATTTTAAAGATTTTACCTAAAATTTGTCGATGCCCTAATTTCCGATGAACTCCAGTGGTGAGGACGGCGGGATCAATCAGCGACGGTGATGGTTGGCCAACGAGGTGGCGGTAGGGGTGACGGTGGCGGGGACGGCAGGAGAAATGGTCTAGGGTTTGGTTTGGTAGTAAAGGAGAAGAGAGAGAGACTATAGTCGGCTAAAAGCGATAACAAATCGCTTGGGCCTTATATAGGCCCTGCCCCAACTTGCAGGCTAAATTCCAGAGAGCGATGCTCTCAGGAATATAGTCTGAAGCTTCACGGGACTTCAAGTCCCGTGAAGTTTTGGCGCTCCTAATCAAAGTTGGTTATGTGGGCTTAAACTTCACAAGACTTCAAGTCCCGTGAAGTTATTTAAGTTTTTCGCCAAATTTGACAAACTAGGTCGAATTTGGCAAATATTTCCGAAATAAGTCGTTTTTTATAAATAAGTATCTAAACGGGTCTATTTTGAAAATTTGTCTTATTTGAAATTGATTGTGTTTCTTCTTGTAATTAACATTACGTTGGTTATATGTAAAGCCTATTTGACAGAGATTTGAAAGAGATTTGGGTTCTAAACCCTATATTACAGTTATTGAGCAAGGCTATTATTATAATTTAACCTACATGATTAAGTGCTAACCATGGTTGGTTAAGTCATTTGGATGGAAAACATCCATAAGGGGTTTTTTCAACAACTTACATGATTTGGGGGGTTATTTAGAAATATCAAGATTTGGGGG